AGGATCTAGACAGTCCATCTGCACCAAGGCCTTGGAGTGGTGTATGCACTGAACGCACTGTGTACACACTGAATTTGCACCCTCTATTATTCCCATTCCTCGAGGCATGTCCCTGGCCTCCCGGGCTCCCCTAGTGCTTCACCCCATCCTCGTCTTTCTTGTTTCCCAGCCTTTGGATGGACTGGTCCCTCGTCCCTGCAAGCCTCCTGGCTTAGTGATCCATAGGGTGGGTGTCCCCCAATCTAAGACATTTCCCCGAGTCCTTTGGGCACAGCTCTGTCCACAATGCCCCCATCACAGGCCACCCAGACCATCAGAGCCTTCCACCTGTTAACTATTTTTCCAAGCCCTCTTCGAGGGCAGTCAGATGGACTCAGGTTCAAATCCCCTTTCTATTATTGCTTCCAAACTATGAAAACATGCGCAAGTCACTTAACTATGACACTTGAGGTGCCTGAATTTGGAGCCGGACAAGGCTCGGGATTTGGGGCAGGGGCTAAGATTACAAGCCAGGCTCTCTGCCCCAAGCTTTCCCCAGAGAACCGGAATCTTACAACCGGCTCCACCCCTGCTCTACCTTGAGCACTAACCCCACTTCTGTGGACCTCAGTTTACTTACATAAAATGGGTGTAATACCTCCCATGGAGTGCTTATGTAGATTAAAGCAGGACATGTGTGTAAGGAGCCGTGCTCCACGCTGGCTCTGAGAAAGCTCTCAGCAAGGGCAGCTGGGCGTCACTGTTTGGCCAGGCTGCTCCCCTCTCACCTCCTTTGTGTCCTCTGCAAAATGGGCAGCAGCAGCAGCCACCAGCCAACTCTCAGTGACAAAGGGGAGAGCAGGGATTGGAGAGATTCATTCCTCAATTGTGACCCTCCCCCACCCCAAAGACTGAGCTACCTCCTTCCCTAGGTCCATAGCCCCCAGCAGCCTTTGCCATTCAGCAGGTAAATCCTAGAGGCAGCTGAGCAGGTGTGCTGTCGCTGGTACCGGACTGACTTGGAGGCTCCTGGGTCCCAGGCAGTCACCCGGCTGTCCAGAGCAGAAAGGAGATGTGTGCAGGGCCACATTGGAGGCCCAGAGCCAGAATGAGGTTATCTCTGCCCAGCACTCTGCACAGCCCTCGTGCCACAAACAGGAGATGCTAGCATTAGGGACATGGAGTTTGCCTTGATGCTCAGCTCCATAATGGTGGGGGCTGAGCGTCTGTCCCCCACATTCCAGGCTCCCACAGGGAAAGTACAGCGAGGCTCCCAAAGGGAAAGGGAGGGAAAAAGCATTTCCCATTCTCAAACCACAATATCAACAGCTGCTCCGAAGATCCCAGGGTGCCCCAAGGCCCTTGGCAAACTAATCGATGAGAACCCCCCCCCATTTAAACGCTCCCCCACTGCTGAATTTTTAGGGAAAGGGGACCCCAAACCAGTTTCTTGCCCATAGGGATCTGACAGCCAAAAAACTGCTCTAAAAACAGGCCTTATAATAGTACCCAGCTCTCCAAAGGTGGTTGTGACGTTTAAATGAGATGGGGCAGGTCCAGGGTTTACCGGACGCCTGGCCCCTGGCAAGCGCTCGACACACTCTTACTGCACTACAGACTGGGGTGCCAAATGCCAGGAGCCTCCCAGCGAAAAATAATAACAAGAGCAAAGGCTTATATAACACCTCCTGCGTGCCAGGCACCGCGGGACGCTGTACGTGTATCCACTAACCCCTCTGTCTACATCCTCAACTCTCAGGAATGCCGTCCAGGGCTGGAACGGGGGTGTGGGTGCAATGCGGAGGGGCGGGAGGCCAGGGGGCAGAGACGGCAGAAGCCTTGCCAGGGGCCATTTCTGTCCAAGGGAATCAGAACAGGGGCCCCAAGTGCAAACCTAGGTTCAGCCACCTTGAACAAGCAGGTAAGGCTGGGCCTCAGTGTCCACATCTGGGCCAGGAGGGCAAGTGGTAAGTCTCCCATCCCCAGGAAAGGGACTGGAAGTGCAGGAACCCTTCCCCCCACCTCCGCCTTCTGGACGGCTACTCCCCTCCTGCCAGCCAGCCAGGGACACCCAAACCGGCTAGGGATACACAAACACAAGCTCGCCCACAGGCCCAGGCTCCTCTCTTAAAATATATAAACACACAAAATATTTTTTAAACAGCCCACCCCACCACTACGCTTACCAAAAGAATCTGCCCCAGCTTAGGCTCCACAGGACCCAGACCTGTACTCACTCCTCCAGCAGTCACAGGCCCTAACTACTGTGCAGGGCTCAAAGACTCCAGGACCCTCCAAATCCAAGCCTGGCACTCAAGATCTGCCAGAGGCCCTGGGCCCCCTCCCCAAGCAGGGTTCCCAGTCACTCCTCCCCAGCACCCAGGGGCCCTGAGTCACCCTGAAAGCCTGACCCAGCACTTCTCTGCCCCTCCCCCCAAGGCCTGTACCCCCATCTCCAAGCACAGGTCCTGGGGGGAGTAGCAGAAGAGGAGAAAAAAATAGCTGCTACACCCCCTCCCAACCACCAAAAAAAGCCAAAAATATTAGCAGCCCCCCACGCACAACAACCCCCCACACCAGAAAAGCAAAAATTAAATCACAGAAATCCAAACTAAAGAAAAAAAAAATCAAAAGCCAACTACTGCCCCCAAAAGGCTTTTTAACCATTCTCAAAAAAAAAAAAAGTTTATTAAAAGTGTTCTTAATGCTTGAAACGGAAAAGATTCCCAAATATACAGACGCCTCTTTTCTCATAGAAATAGATTATTTTTTATAATACAAAAAAAGACCAAAAACAACAACAAAAACAACAGCAACAGCAACAACCCGGTAGGAACATCTTTAAGCGATTACTCAGGGCCCGGCTGACAGTTACACGTGGGTTGCGTCAGTCCCGTGTACACACGCGTTCAGCCATGTTTAAACCGATTGCATCAACTTCGAAACCGGCCCGCCCGCCGGCGCCTGGAGAAGGGGCAGAGGGAGAGCCAGAGTTTATCATTCATCTGTACACATAGACATTTCTTCTTTAAATACCACGGGCGGGCGCCCCATCTGCTTGTGCGGTTGGTTTGGACAAAAATATAGATATATATATATATAATAAAATATTAAAATTACCGACGAGCTCCCCGCGCTGCCAAGTGCCCCAGTGCCAAAGTTTTGCCGGCGCCACCGGGGGCGGGGGCGGGAGCGCGGGCGCTTCCCGGAGTCTCGCGGCCGCTGCGCGCCCGGCAGCGCGGAGGCCGGCCGGCAGGGGGACGCGCGCGGGGGTCGCGCTAGCAGTGGCCGGAGGAGGCGAGCAAGGGCTCGGGCAGCTGCTTGAACAAGTTCCGCAGGGTGCTGAGCTCGCGCGACAGCTGCTCCACCTTCTTCTGGAGCCGCTCGTTCTCAGCCGTGAGCTCCAGGACCTTGTGCTGTGTCTCCAGGTTGCGCATCTTGGCCTTGTCGCGGCTCTTGCGCACCGCGATGTTGTTGCGCTCCCGCCGGATCTTGTACTCGTCGCTGTGCTTGTCCACGGTCTTCTTGGCCTTGCTCTTGACCTGTGAGGGCGCCGGCGCCGCCCCCCCGTAACAGGAGGCGGGGGGCGCCTTGGCGTCGGCGGGACTCGGCGTGCCGGGCGGGCTGGACGACGAGGACGTGGACAGGCTCCCGCTGCTGCCGCTCGGCACCGCCTGGTAGCCGAGGTAGGCGCGCAGCGCATACGGGAAGCCAGCCGCCATGCCTGCGCCGCCGCCGCCCGGCCCTCCAGCCTCCTCCTTCCGCTTGCAGTCCGCGGGCTCGAAGCCCGGCTCCGCCTTGAGCTCGGAGGGCTGCGGCGGCGGGGGCGGCGGGTGCAGGGGCGCAAAGCAACCCGGGTGCAGCGCGCCCTTGGCGGCCCCCAGGCGCCCCAGGCTCACGTAGCTGTACTCTCCCGCCTTCTTGCAGTTCTTGCCCCCGTAGTCGTCGGAGAAGAGGTCGGAGAGGAAGTCGTGGTGCTGCCCGGAGGAGGCGGGCGCGGAGGCGGGCGCGGGCGGAGCCGCCTCGAAGGTGTCCGTGGCCGTAGCCGGGGCCTGCGGCGCCAGCGGCTCCAGGTACGGGCTGAAGTCGATGGCGCGCTCGTGGTCGCCGATGCTACCCAGCTCGCCGGCGGGGGGGCGCGGCCCAGGTCTGGCCGCGGGGGGCGCCGCGGGGGCCGCCTTGCCGCCGTACGCAGCAGCCAAGCAGTCCGCCTCGTAGTAGAAGTTGGCCACTTCCATGGATTTAAAGGCAGGCGGCGGCGGCAGGGGGAGACATGCTGGGTCCCAGGCCACCAGGCGTTGCATGAACGCGGGTGCCCAGGGAGGGGGCTTGACGCTGCCCGCTCCGGCCGGCCCGCAGGTGGCGCGACCTCCTGGCTGCGAACTGTCGCCGCTGTGTCGCTGCTGCTGCTGCTGCCGCTGCCGCTGCTGCCGGTGCCGGGGTGGCCGCTACTAGTGCGGGGGCTGACAGCTGGACCCTCGGGTGAGTCCCCTTCCCGGTCCCGTGCGCGGCTCTGACTCGCTAAAGTTTCTCCTGAGCCCGGTTATTTATAAGGCGGCCCATGGCAACGGCTGCGTCACGCCTGGCGGCCGCCCCGGCCCCTCCCGCCGCCGCCGGGACACAGCCACACCGTGGCCGCCTGAGACCCCTGGAAGGTCGGCGGCCTAACGGAAGACCAGGAGCGCGCCCTCGGGAGTCCTCGGGCTCCGGGGGGCAGCTTCACGCCCCCTGCCCACTCCCACCAGACGGCCCCGGGATTGGGAGCGAGAAGGGGAGGTGCGACCCCGCCCCCAGACCGCCCCTTCTGGTCTGTAGGCTGTACTGAAGGGGGGAGGAAACCCGGGAGGGGGCGACGCGATCGCCTTCCCCCACCCGAAACGCGGCGGCGGCCCGCCCCCTGCTGGAAGAGGCGGTGGCTTCAGGATCCGCGGCGTCCAGCCCGGACGCCCCAAACAGAAGGTGCTCCCAGGTGTGATCCTGGAGACAAACCCCAGCTCTGGCTCCTGGAGAGGTAACCCATCTCCCGGATACGGCCCCGCCCCTAAACTTGCCCCTATCCCCCGCTTGTAGGAAAGGATTCCACACCTATGGCGACTCTTCTCTTAAAGCCACTCTCAATAGGAGGACCTTGGAGAGGGGACGGGCAGGTCAGGGGCGCGCTCCCCTGGGGCTTCTGCCCCAGTCGGCCTTGCCCCCCAGCGCCACCCACCGCACCTGCCCGCCCCCTTAGACGACACCTGGGTCTGCTCCAGCCCCACCCCACCCTGACCTGGGCCCTCAGGAGGATGGAAGGGACAGGGTGCTCAGCTCTGCCACACGGTGACCTTGGGCGAGTCACTGAACTTCTCTGAGCTTCCATGAAGGTATCCTTACTGTTGCGTTTAGTTGTATCGCTGTCTCCACCACAGATGACCAAACGTAAGTCTTCGTTTTAAGTCCACTCTGGGAGGCACATCAGAAGGAAGGGCCTCCCCCAGAGGCCGAAAGAGGACTAGAGGGGGCCTAGCATGCCTAAGGTCACACGGCCTCATGGCTCCCATTAGTCTCAAAAGGAAACCCCTTTTCCAGGCTCCCTAAGACAGATCTGCCAACTTGAGGGCTCAAAAGCCTCAAGAGACCTGTTTCTGAGGCTGGTGGGAAGGGGAGTCAAGCCAAGCCCACTGCAGGAGAGAGAGGGGACTGCCTCCATTTTTACCAAGTCCCCATTGTGCACTCCGGGTGGACCTAGACCCACGGTTCACTTTTTCACCCTGCCAGGAGGCTTTTGCTGCTCGTGGTACAAAGCTGTGCAAATGGGCCATGTCCCATCCTGGACGTGAGCGTACACCTGAGGCCCTCCCTGCTAAATGGGCTCAAGCAGCCCCTTGCCCTCTCTGGCCCCATTCCTAGGCCATTTGGGCAGCTCCTTGGGCCCACCACTCAGTCACTCAGGCCCAGGCAGGAGCTCCCAGCCTGCCTGAGGCTGACCCCCGGCCCACTGACCCCAGCCTTGGCGGGCAAGCAGGCATTGCTCAATCTTAAACGTTATCTGCTGAGCTGGGGTGACCTCTGCCCTGGAGAGCTGGAGAAATGACATCTCCAGGAGCGCCCTTGAGGGGTGGGGGGCAGGGAGGGGGGGATGAAACACTAACCTGGCCTGCTAGCTTTCTGGGCCTTCCCAGCACCTGGGAGGTATCTGAGGCCCCAGGGCCCCAGGGCCCCTCAGCCCTGGGACACTCAGGTCTGAGCTGGAGGCTCACCGCCTCCAAGATGCCCTCCCTGCCCCACTTGCTGGTGAACTTCCTGCCTGGCCCTTATCTCCAGCTGCCATTATCCTAGTTGTCTTGTCTACCCCTCTCCCCGCGCAACTGACCACACCATGAGGACTGTCCCTTCAGTACTGGAACTCCTGGGCTGGGCCTATCCAAAATTTACCAGCAAATGAATGCACTTCCTGTTCCCTCTGGACCAAGAAGATTGTCCCCCCAGCTCTGCCCAAGGCTCAGCCCAAAGGTTACCACCTCGAAGAAGCCCTTCCTGACCTTCCCATCAAAAGTCCCAGGCCCTCAATCACTCCTTTCACACCCCCTGCTTTATTTCCTTGACTGTTCTTATGACTATCAAAGTTATTTTAACTACTCACCTTGCTTTCTGTCCCTGCTGCCTCCTTCCCATGTCAGCCCCAACAGGGCAGGGATTTTTTGTTTTGTTCACTGGTGTACCCCAGTGCCTAAAACAGTGCCTGGCACACAGAAGGTGCCTAAAACAGATGAAGAAGGCTGAGTACAAGGTGAGGTCCCCCATTAGCTGGGCTGTGTGACATCAGGCAAGATGGCTCCCCTCTCTGAGCCTCAGCACCTGCCTCCCAACTCTCAGGATTCTGCGGAAGATGCAGTGAGACCTGGTGGGGTCTGAAGGTAATTGGAGGATTTGCTGTGTGCCCTCAAGCCAATCTTCCACCCTCTCTGAACCACATTTTAAGCTCTTTGCATATTTTAACTCATTTAATCCTGATTATTTATAGGAATCAGGTCCTATTATTAATCTCCACTGTACAAATGAGGAAACTGAGGCCCAGCAGAGCTAAGTGTTCCTGCTCAAGTTCACATTAAAGAGGCGGGAAGGATTAAAGTCCTTCCAGCCTGACCTTCCCCTTTGGGTTTGTAATCATAACAAATCTGGTGATGTGAGCCCCATTTTCTGAATGGAAAAAATGAGGTGCAGGGAAGGGTGGCCCTGGATCACACAGTGAGTCAAAAGGCCACCCAGACCCTGGGGACTGGCTCCCAAGGACGAGACTCAGCCCCATCAGGTCTTGCCCTTCTGGCCTCTAGAATGGAACTGTGCCCACCAAGTACTGAGCCTTTTGCTTTCCTCCCTTCCCTGCCCAGGATTCCCCATTCTGGTCTGAAAGTAAAATCAGTGGCAGTTCCCACCTCAGTGCCACCCTAGGTGTCCTGCAGGGAGGCTGCATGCCTGCTCGGGTGACAGGTGACGTAAGCCCTTGTTTTCACAAGGCTGTTGCTCAACAGGCTGAGCCTGCTGCCTTACCATTAATGCTCAGCCTTTCCCGAGAAGGGGGCTGATGGGAGCTGAACCACTATGGCCCAGAGGTCCAGAGCACACCCCAGTGGCCCTGCAGGCAGCCAGAGCCCAGAAACCATGATTCACCTGACACCACCCACAATGCTCTCTCCCAGTTACGTCCTGCGTAGGTGTTTGTAGGAACCTGGACCGTGCAGGGTCTCAAACTGGCAGCCAGCAGCCAAATCCAACCCACAGACGTGCTCAGTTTGACTCCATGGTGCTTTGCTTTGTGTGGTTTCAATGAATTTATTGCCAACATTTGGAGACTTCACATCAAAATTTAAATTTCCAGCTTCTCTTTTAAAACCAAAAGCCATGGGCTGGGCCCACAAGGCCTGGCGTGGTGAGCAGGAGCCAGGAGGGGCTGTGGAAGGAACAGGCCCTTTCCTATCCATACACATGCCCCCCTCTGCCCGCAAACTGCTTTCAGAGTTCATTCTAGTCTGCAGCTTTTCCTTAGCCCCATTTTCTGGAGGAGGAAACTGAGGTGACTTGCCCAGAGGAAGTCCCATTGTTGCTGCTTTGATGAGAGCGATAAAGGTGTTGGCAGAGGGGCTTAGAGACCACCCAGTGGGTAAAAACTAAGGCAGAAAGGGGACCCATCAGAGATGGTCCGTGGAGATTATCTCTAGTGGGTTTGGAGTGTGGGGATTGCAGCAAGGATCAGACTTTTGTTCTTGCTCTGCACCCTGGCTGCTGCACTCTGATGTCCCCTCTAGACCTCAGTCCCAGATCTCTAAAATGGGGCAATATCCCCACTCTCATGGGTGTTCTGGGCCTGCTGTTCCCACACTGGCCCCACCAGTACGTGGAAATGAATCAGACCTCCGCAGAGCCTCACAAAAGCAAGTCACAAAAACCTCATAAAGCAGGCAGGTGGGAAACAGGACCAGAGGTTAAGACCTCCCCCAAGACTGCAGTAAACTGGTAAAAGCCGGACTTAAAAAGACACACACCCTGATTCCAATGTCTGAGATTTTCCCACCATGTCTCCTCTTTTAAGGCTTCACTTTCCCCCTCTGCCCAATGAGGCTGAGATTAGATCCCTAAGGGCTGCCAGGCCCAATGTCCTGGGATATGGAATTTGGGGGTCCTGGGAGACGCTCAGGGCTGGCTGCAAAACTTGCCTGAGCATATGCTGCCACCATGTGGCAGGCTCTAGGAATGCAAGAGTGATTTAAAGAATCCTTTTCAATGAGGTGCTATTGGGCACCTTGCTTTGGGATACAGAGGTCAGAGCTGTGGATATGATCGATGCTCACAGGACATGAGCAGGCCACTGAAAGAAATAAAAAATGTCCAACAAACAGACAAAAGGTGCTCACTTTTACTTAGTCATTCAGCAAATATTTTTTGGCACCTACTGTGGCTCATGCCCTAGAGACATATTCCTGACAGAAGCTATTCCTGTTCTCATAGAGTTGACATTCCCCTGGAGGAAGACAAACAACAAATAAGATAAAGGAGAAAAGTATACATCGTGTTCCTTTCTGGTGAGCACCACAGAGAAAACTACAGCAGAGGAGGGGGATGGGAATGCTGGGGTGAGAGGGGGGAGTATTTTAACTTTAAAGTGGTAATGGGAGGACTCCTTGAGGTGATAGTTGAGCAAAAACATAAATGCGGTGAGAAAGTGGGTCATAAAGGTAGCTGTGGGGAGAATGGCGTGGGGGGGGGACAGCAAGTGCAAAGGCCCTGAGGTAGAAACCTGCCTGGCCCATGCAGTTGAGGGAAGTAGCAAGAAATTGTCTCATAGAAATTGTGGGGACCATATCACTCAGGGCTTTGTGGGCCATTGTAAAGACTGGCTCTTACTCTGGGTTAGCAGGAGTCACAGTTCTGAGCAGAGGAGGGACAGGATCTGACTTAGCTTCTAACAGAATCCCTCTGGCTGCATGTAGGGGGTGGGCTGTACTGGAGGTAAGGGCAGAATTAGGGAGCCCAGTGAGGACATAACTGCAGTCATGCAAGCAGATGATGGCGGACTCCACCAGGGCAGTGGCCATGGGGATGGGGAGAAGTAGTCGAAATCTGAATCTGTTTTGAAAGTGGAACCTTCAGAATTTGCTGATAGATCCAATTATAGAACAGCCACACCATGGACCACCCCAGAGCCATTTAAAGGCACACCAAAAGCACTGGCAACCAAAAGAAAAAAAGTAGATAAATAGGACTACATCAAAATTTATAACTTCTGTGCAACAAAGAACAAAACCAACAGAGTAGAAAGGCAGCCTGTAGAATGGGAGAAAATATAGCAAATCAATCAGATAAGAGGTTACTATCCAGAATATATAAGAACTCCTACAACCTCACAATAGAAAACCCAATTAAAAATGGGCAAAGGACTTAAAATTTCCCCAAAGAAGATATATGGATGACCAATAAGCACATGAAAAGATGTCCCACGTCACTAATCACTAAGGAAATGCAAATCAAAACCACAATAAGAGACCACCTCACACCCACTAGGTTGGATACTATCAAGAAAACCAGAAAGTAAGTGTAGGTGGCGCTATGGAGAGACCAAGTCTTGTGCACTCTTGGTGGAAATGTAAAATGGTACAGCCACTGTGGGAAACAGTATGGCTGTTCCTCAAAAAATTAAAAATAGAATTACCATATGATCCAGCAATTCCACTTCTAAGTAGATACACAAAAGAATGCAAAGCAGAATCTTGAACAGATATTTGTACATCCATGTTCATAGCAGCATTATTCACAATAGCCAAAAGGCAGATGCCACGCAAGTATCCATCAATGGATTAGTGGATCCACAAAATGGGGTCTATACATACAATGGAATATTGCTCAGTCTTTTAAAAGGATATTCTGGGCCGGCCGAGTGGTGCGTTGCTTAAGAGTTGGCCTGGGACATCAGCTCTGAGCAGCAGGGCCCCACAGGAGGGCCAGTGACGCTGCGCCCTCTGCAGCTAAGATGATGAACAACAGCTCACTGGAGCTGGGTTGCTGTAAGTCACCGGCGACGGTGTAGGCTGCAGTGGGCTGCCATGAGCTACCATGAGTGGCTGGCAGCCGGCGTGAGCTGCTGTGAGCGGCTGTCCTGTGGCCGGCGAGCAACTCTCTCACCCAGGAAGAGCGCAATGATAACACCAACATGGGCCAGTGAAGCGACGTCCTCCACAACTAGACTGAAGAACAAAAAGACAGCCACTTGTCTGTTCCCCTTCCCCGATTTCCCAATGCCGTTCCCCTCCCCCAATTACCCAATAAAATCTTTAAAATAAATAAAAATAAAAGGATATTCTGATACATGCTACAATATGGGTAAATCTTGAAGTCATTATGCTGAGGGAAAGAAGCCAGTCACAAAAGGGCAAATACTGCATGATTCCACTTATATGAAGTCCCTAGAGCAAACTCATAGGGACAGAAAGCAGAATGGTGGTTGCCAGGGGCTGGGGGAAGGGTGGAAGCGGGAGCGAGTGTTTCATGGGGACAGAGTTTCAGTTTGGGAAGATGACGAAGTCCTAGAGGTGGATGGTGGTGATGGTAGCACAACAATGTGAATGTACTTAATGCCACTGAACTGTCCACTTAAAAACAGTTAACATGGTAAATTTTATGTTATGTGAATTTTACCACAATTAAAAAAAAAAAAGACAAGGTAGATCTTCATATGTCAACATGGGAAGATGCCCAGTGGCATTGTGATGTTGCGAGAAGGCATGGCAGAGCAGTGTCCCTCTATTATTTGTCTTTAAAACCTTCGCCATTAGCTAAAAGTTTTTTAATGTGAATAACACACAGTGTTGATGAAAGTGGGGGAAAACTTTTGGTGGTTGTGCCAAGGGGTACAGCCTCCAGTTTTGAGTAATTTGGCCATAGCTCTCAAAATGGAAACCATTGGGCCCAGAAATGCTGGGCTTTTATACAACAAAGACACTCCTACCAGCACAGAGACAAATGGACATTTGTAATAGCAGAAACTTGGGAGATACATCAGTAGCTATCGTTACCAGGAAATACTATGCTGCTTCTAAAAAGAGAGGCAACTCTGCCGGCGAGGATCCAAACCAGTGCTGTCCCATAGAACTTTCTGGGATGATGGAAATATGCTACAGCTGTGCTCTGCCCTATAGAGCTACCAGCCACATGTGGCCATTGAGCACTTAAGATGTGGCTAGTGTGACTGAGGAACTGAACTTTTTATTTTGTTTGATTTTAATTACATTTAAATAGACTGTGGCTAGTGACTATTGTATTGAACAGCACACATCTAGAACCATCTCCAGGATCTGGTGTTAAGGGAAGACAGCCAAAGTGCAGGCCAGGAGGGGTGGTGTGCGAACCCCCACACACAAGGGGGAATTCCGGAATTTACTCATCCGTTTGGTTGAGGACGTAGTCTCTCACTGGAAGGGTCCTAAGAAACTGGCAACAGTGGCAGGCTAGGGCCTGGGCTTCTCTGAATAGTGGTGTGTAATAACGTACCCCAAAACTTAGGGGCTTAACAAAACCACCATCCTGTGGGTCAGGAATCTGGACAGGGCACAAGGGGACAGCTTGCCTCTGCTCCAGTCCTGGCGGCTGGCTGCTGGCTGGAACGCCCAAGGTGACTTGTTCTTTCCCGTGTGTGGCACCTTGGTGAGGATGGCCCCAAGCTTCGTCCTCCGTTCCTCCGTTCTCCATTATATAGTCTCTCCCTCCCCACGTGGCCTCTCCAAGTGGCCTCTGCATAGGCAGCCCCTTCCCGTGGTATCTTCACGTGGCTTTCTACATAGCCCCTGCACGTGTCTGAGTTTCCACTCCACGTGGCCTTTGCACCTGGCCTCCCCACCACAGCAGCCGTACTTTTTACAGCTGGCTCTCCCAAGAGCACGGAAGTGAAAGCGGCTAAGCCTTCCTTAGGGCTTAAGCCCCAAACTGGCACATCACCATTTCTATCACATTCTGTTGCTCAGCCCGGATGCAAGGGCAGGGGACTGCACAGGGCACGCACCCCAGGCGGCTGGTTCACTGGGAGCCCCTAAGGTGAGTCTACCACAGAATGAGGGCAGGGGCCTCAGAGGGATGTGGAAGGAAGACCCTTTTCTAATTTTAAACTGTTCTCCATGGCTATGGACTACCTTACACGTTTGAGTTTGGAAAGCCGTATGAGTACATTGCATGGTCCTGCCCCCACACCTTTGCTCATGCTGTTCCCTCTGCCTGTAACACCTGTCACCAGGTGGCAATGAAGCCCAGCCTCCTCCTACCTGAGAGGTCAGAGACCCCAAGGCAGGAGGCTCCAAGCCCAGCTTTGAAGAGAAATTTCCCAGCCTCATTGTCCATTCCTCTCCTCAGCTTCGAAATTTGCTTCCCCCTCCAGCCCACTGCCTTTAATTATAGGCGTGCCAACCACTGATAGATGCAACGGTCTGGATAACTCTCCAAAATCTTGTACTAACTAAAAGATACCAGACACAAAAGAATGCCTGCTACATGATTCCATTTATACGAAGCTCTAAAATAAGCAAAAATTAATCTACGATGGAAAAATATCAGAACGGTGGTTGCCTCAAGCTGGGGGATGGGCAGGATTGACTGGGCAGGGGCACAAGGGTACTTTTGGGGGGGGGTAGATGTTCTGTATTACTTTACCTGCCATAATGTGTCATAATGAAGTACCACAAACTAGGCAGCTTAAAACAACATCCATTTATTCTCTCACAGTTCTGGAGGCCAGGATCCTGAAATCAGAGCCATGCTCCCTCTGAAGACTCGGGGCAAGTCCGTCCTTGCCTCTTCAGCCACTGGTGGCTCCCAGCAGTGCTTGCTGTTCCTTGGCTAATAGGTCCATCATTCCAATCTCTGCCTCTGTCTTTGCATAGCCCTCCTCCCCCATGTGTGTCTGTGTCCAGATCTCCTTTCTCTTATAAAGACACCAGTCATTGGATTTAGGGCCCGCCTAATGCAGTATGATCGCATCTTAAGTCAGTGACATCTGCAAAGACCCTATTTCCAAAGAAGGTCGCATCCACAAGGATTAGGACTTGAATATGTCTTTTTGAGGGACACAATTCAACCCACTTCGTGTTCTGTATTTTGGAAAGAGCTTGGATGACACAGGTAGAGGCATTTGTCAAAAATAAAGTACACCTAAGATGTGTGCATTTCACTGAACGTAATAGTGACCTCTAGGTGATGATGTGCATGCTGAAGTGGTTGGGGTGAGGTGTGCTGGTGTCTGCAACTTACTCTGCATTTAGTGGTCTGGTCGCTTTGTTCTCCTTTAATTGGGATCAGTTCCTCAGTCTTCCTTTCTCATCCATGACCTTAACATTTTTGAAGAGTTCAGGCCAGTTACTTTGTAAAATGTGCCTCCCATGAGTCTGTCTGGTTTCCTCAAGTTTGGACTTAGGCTCTGCCCCTCTGTCAGGTACGACCCGAGTGGTGGTGTGTCCTCCTCGGTGCTTCCCATCAGGAAGCACCTGAGAGCCGTTTGTCCTGTTACTGGTGATGCTAATATTGATCACGTGGTCAAGGCGACATCTGCCAGGTTTCACCACTGTCAAGCTACTGTTTTTCTCTTGGCAATGAACAAGCATCTTGTGAAGAGATAGTTTTAAACTATTTAAATATCCTGTTCCTCCTCTTTCACCCACTGATTTTCACATCCATGTATATGCTTGCCTCAATCGATCTATTGCCATGTAATAAATGACCCCAAACCTTAGCAGCTTAAAATAATAATCATTTTCTCACTGTTTTTGTGGGTCAGGAATTCAAGAGTAGTTTAGCTGGAAGGTTCTGGCTTTGAGTCTCTCAGAAGTTGCAGTCAAGGTGTCAGCTGGGGCGACAGTCATCTGAAAGCTCAGCTGGGGCTGGAGTATCACTACCCAGTAGGACTATAACGTGAGCTATCAGTGGGAACCACGTGTCTAATTTTACATTTTCTGGCAGCCACAGTTTGAAAACTAGAAAAAGATACAGGTGAGGGACGGCCAGTTAGCTCAGTTGGTTAGAGCACAGACTCATAACACCGAGGTTGCCAGTTCGATCCTCGCATGGGCCACTGAGCTGCACCCTCCACAACTAGATTGAAACAACTTCTTGACTTGGAGCTGATGAGTCCTGGAAAAACACACTGTTCCCCAATTAAAACTAAAAGAAAAAGATACAGGTGAAATTCATTTTAGTAATATATTTTATTTCACCCAATATATCTAACATCTCATTTCAACATGTTCTCAATATAAAAAAAAATTGCTAATGAGCTAGTTGACATCTTTTGTTCATGCTGTCTTTGAAATTGAGTGTATATTAACACAGCATATTCCAATTTGGACCAGCCATACTGCAAGTGCCTAACACATGTGGCGAGTGGCTACAGTATTGGACAGCTCAGCACTCAACATGTGGGCCTCTTCTTAAGGCTCCTTGAGTGTCCTCACAGCACGGAAGCTGTCTTCCCCCCGAGAGAGGAATCAGAGAGAGCAAGAGGGAAGCACATGCCTTTTATATCCTAGTTTTCCAGCACATCATCACTTCTGCCATATTCTACTCATTAGAATAGAATCACTAAGTTAGACCCCCCCCACTCAAGAGGAAGTGAATTTTATTCCATCTCTTAAAAAGAAGACTGTTGGGCCAGCCGAGTGGCTCAATTGGTTAAGAGCTCGCTCAAGAGTGTGAGCTCTGAGCAACAGGGTCGCTGGTTCGATTCCCGGCCCGAGCTGAGCTGCTGACAGGTGGCAGGATGGCTCAGTTAAAAAAAATTTTGAATTTAAAAAAAATAAATAAATAAAAAGAAGACTGTCAAAGAATGTGTGGACATATCTTAACATCACCACACCCCCATTTATTTGTTTATTCATTTATATCAGTATGGACCTATGGGTTTGATTTTATTTCATGGGTTCTAAATCCATCACTACCATTATTTACTTTGGTGCTCAAACTGACCCAGATCTGGCCAGTGTAAGCCCCTTTCAGCTGGCTCCTGTGTCACTTCACCACATCCCTGATTATTCTTTGAGCATTTCCTTATTTTCCGGCACAAGCTGCTCCAGGCTCAATTTCTACTTTTCTTACCCCTGCCCTAGTTCATTTTAGTGAAGAATGGAGATTTTGAAACCAAAATCTGGGTGCTGGCCAACATTTTAATTTTTACCAATCTCCTGGGTGTAAAGTGGTATCTCCTAGTTGTTTATATTTGCATTTCCTATTACTAATGAGTTTGTGCCTTCTTCTCATGCTTGTGGTTTTCCTCTTCTGTTAATTGCTCTCCCCATGTCCACTGCTCTTTTTCCATTGGGGCTGCTGTCTTTTCTCTTGTTTATTTGCAAGTTTCTCGTATATTCTAAGCACTGCAATTTTAGACGCCGCAGTGTCTTCATAGTCTGACATCTGTCTATTAGCTTTGGCCATGATATCCTTTGGCTAGAATCCTTCATTTTGATGTAATCAAAATAATTTTTTAAATGTTTTTTACCTTTCATACATTAGTGTTTTTCTATTATGGTAAAATATAAATAACATGAAATTTACCATTTTAGCCCTTTAGTAGGGTACAGCTCAGTGGCACTGAATATATTCACAGTGCTGTGCAACCATCACCACCCTCCATTTCCAGAACTTTTTCATCATCGCAAACAGAAACTCTGTACCCTTAACCCCCGCTCTCCTCCTCTCTCCAGCCCCTGGAAACCTTTCATCTGTTCTCTGTCTCTGTGAATTTAACTACTCTAGATACTTCAAATAAGTGAATCATACACTATTAGCCCTTCTGAGACTGGCTTATTTCACTCAGCATAATGTTTTCAAGGTCCATCCATGTTGTAGCCTGTGTCAGAATTTCATTCCTTTTTATGGCTGAGTAGTATTCCGTTGTGTATATATAACTTCTATTAATTTCATCAGTTTGCACTTCATGTTAAGTCTTAATCCATCTAGAGGCCACCTTTGTCTGCAGCGTGAAGCAAGGATCCAGTTTCATTTGAGCCAGATTGCCAACACCATCTTCTGAACGGTCTCTCCTTTCCCAGGTGGGCCGTGGGGCAGCCTGTGTGTGTTTAGTTCTCTTACACGCATGGGCCGCTCCGACACCACTGCTCTGCCTCACTGGTCTGTTGCTCCTCGCACTGGCACCCCACTGCTTTTATTATCATGGTGTATGCCTTCTAGCTGCTGATAGGGGGAGACTCCGCTTTCCTATTCTTTTTTAAGGTGGTGGCTCGGTTCTTTCCCTGCCGCATCTCATCAAGTCCGCAGGACAGCCCTGTATCGATGGATGTGATCCTTATCCCCACATGACAGGTAAGGAAACTGAGGCCTCAGAGGGGACGTACCTTGATGAAGTTTACAGAGCTGCCAAGTGGCAGAGAGAGAACAAAATGAGGCCTGTCTGGCTGTAGGGCCACCTCCTGATCCCCAGCACCCAGCTGCCTCTCCCCATCTGCAGGCTGCTAGGTTTTTATTTATAAGAAGGAGTAAAGGACTGGAGAGGCCTGCTGGGCTGGCCACTTGCCAATTTGCTCTCATATCCTTTCCTCATATCAATTACTATTTAACCAGGAAACCACTAAGCATTTAAACAGAGAGGCTTTCCAACAGGGAGGTGTTTGCAGAGGTGATGGAGGCAACCCAGAAGCCAAGCAAAAGACTGCAAAGAAGCTCAGAGATGTGCAGCAACAGAAAGCCGTTGGCACCTCTAAGCTGGAGGGACCGAGGGAGGAGGTAACGTTACAGTAACCTGGGGCCTACGGTCACTCAACAAAGCTAGAAGCACCGTGGACTATCTCGCGGGGTCTGGATCCACGGAGGAGACTCAGTCATTGATGGAGATGCAGCCCCAGGTGTAAAGAGAAGGAGAAATACTCTGGCTTCTCTCCTCCTGGCCTCCGGTCTGTCACCAGGACCTCCCATTGGCCACCAGGAAGTCAGCTGACCTGGGAAATGCAGCTTGCAGAGGGCAGCCCCTCTGTAATTCAGAGTAGAGCAGGGGAGGGGCAGGAAACCGATCTGAGGGCAAAGACCACCAGGCCATGCCTAATAGGCCCTTTTTGCCTGGGCCCAGTTCCCACCAGGTAGATCCCACTAGGGTTCTAGCCCTGGCCGCTAGGACTCGTGATACAATATCCTCCTTCTGCCTCTTTGGCCTTAGCTCATCCTGGGGTGCCTCATCTCACCCTTTGGCATCTCAGCTCTTCCATTACTTGTATACGCAATTCCCTGTACTCCATTCCTCCTGTCTGAAGTTCCTAGCGTGGTCTCCGTTCTCCAGACTGGACCCTCGCTGGTATACCAGCCACACCACAATTTACAGAATGGTCACAGCGGTACCACATGAAGTTGTGGAATGGCTGAGTAATGAACCAGAGGGGCGAGCAGAAATTAAGTAAGCTGGGTCCCCCAAGGCAGGGCCAATCCCGAGATACCATGTGGGCCACACTGCAGTCACCTCAGTGATCTCAGAACTGGTCGTCCCCTCTGTATATGTCTGTGTCCTAATCTCTTATAAGGACACCAGTCATATGGACTTAGGGTTTACTCTAATGACCTCGTTCTAGCTTAACGATCTCTTTAAAGACCCTATCTCCAAATACATTCACATTCTGAGATACCGGGGGTCAGGACTTCAATACATGAATTGCGGGGGGGACATATTCAGCCCATGACATCCCCCACTCTCACAAGGGGAGCATTATCACCCTGTTTTCCAAATGAGGAAATGAAGGCCCAGACAGTACTTTGCCCAAGACCTCCCAGAGCTGGGTCTGCTCAGGTCCAGCAGCGGCTTCTCCACCCACCAGGCCCCGAGGAAACGTCTCTTACTCTCCATGACTGTATCAGACCCTGGGAAATAGGTCCAATCACCCCTGGACTTCCTTTCCTTTGTGTGACGAGGCTGATCCGCCGTTTATTGTGCATTTACTATGAGCCGGGTTCTTCACTGGCATTTTATTAATATGTGCACTCTATATACACAAGACACAACTCCTTCAGGCCTCTGCTCCAATCCCCTCAGAGACGCCTTGCCCAAGCACCAAGTTATCACAACGCCTCCACACGCACAGAGCCAGCTCCCGCTTCACTTTCCTGTAGAGTGTCATCAATACCGGAAATGATCTTATCTGCATATTTACTTCTTTACTGCCTTCACTCCCTGGACTGGAAGCTCCGCGAGGGCAGGATCCGGGTCCTGATATATCCTTAGCGCCTAGATTAGTGCAGTCGATCACCGGCTTCATAGGAGCTCCATGTGGGTTCAACAAATAATCAAATGAGTGCATTCTCTCATGGAATCCTCTCCAGACATCTATGACTTGGACCCCAGGAGTCTCATTTTATAGAAGTAGAGGGGCTCAGAGGAAGTGCCAAGTTCACCCAACTAGGAAGTAGTGAAGCTGGACTTCAAATCCAGACCATTGTTCTCAGCCTCCACACCCAGGCCAACCTCCATGCCTGAGCCTTCCTTCCAAATCTCTCCCTGCTCTATGGCCTCCCAAACTACCCTCACAGCTGCCTGGAACCTCTCTTGTCCGGGAAATTCCCAATGCCTAGCTGCTGGGCTGCAGTATCATTTTGTGCCAGCAGGTGTCACCAGAGAATTCCTCGTGGCCGCAGTCAGCAGTCGAGCGCTCCAGAGCATGAAAGCTTCCTAGTTTATTTAATCACCTTTCAGGGTATTGCCAAGTTTTTGCTCCGCAAACATGCTACATCCTTGCACCTGTGTTCGTGGACTATGAAGTGGGAATTTCTCTGGGAATGGATTCCTAGAAGTGGAATTTTAAAGAACAACGAACATCTTTAAATTGCATAACCGCATGGATTCCATGAACTTGCTAAGCCTGGTTTACAACTGAGGAGTGTTGGGACCAGAGAGAGCAGGTGGGTTATCCAGGGGAATACAGCAAGCTAGCAGAAGGAACAGTCCGGAGCTGGCTCCTCCAGCCATGAATTTTTCCACTGCACTTGGACTATGCTTCCAACCCAGGCTCGAGTTTCGTCTTGGTGCATTTTTATATGTGTGTGGGGTCTGGCTCTGACTGCTCCTTTTGTCATTCAAACATCCAGTGATTCATTTAATAAACGCATTGGTGGGATACAGGTTCAGTGATATAAGAAAGGCTGGATGAAAGCAGCCCCGTTTTGGATGGTGGCTTGATGGTGTCAGGGACCCAGACTCTTCCTATCTTACAGTTCTTCCATCTTCAACCAGCAGTTTCCATCTCACGGTCCAAGCTGGCTGCTCTAGCGCTGCCATCATACCTACACTCCTGCCAGTGGGAAGTAGAGAAGAGAAAGTAGAATTCAACCTCTTTAAGGGCACACACCAGACTCTTTTGTGCCACTTCGACTCTCATTCCGTTGGCCGGAATTAGTCTTATGTTCCATACTGCTGCAAGGGAGGCTGGGAACGGTAGTCATTAGCTAACATAGCTAATACGTTTTCTACTAAGACTCAGGGTTCTATTACCAATTAATATATTGTCCATTCTCTGCCACGCATACATTTTCTGAGTGCTGACCATGTGTGAGAAAAGGTGCAGCAGACTGGAAATAGCGTCTGCTTGGAATTTGACCCATCTTAGGTTTGAATCCTGATTCTGCCTTTCCCAGCAGTGTATCACGACTTCTGTGAACCTCAGTTTCCTCATTTATAAAACGCAGACAAGAGGGTAACGTGCTCATCCATGTGGGAGTTGTGAGCGTTACAATGTAGACTTAGCAGTGAGCCTACTGTATAGGTGGCATTACAGAAATTGAAGCTGCTTCCAAAATGAGCTAGACTCTGAGCCAGAGGTGAATCAGCAGAGGCCCTGCCCTGGATTCCAATAGGGAGACATTCCTGGGCAGCCTCCTGTTGATAAAAGCCCAGAGACATGTCAGCACATAACCCCAATGCGTCAGGTATGCATGAGTCAGAAGCAGTTGTGGCCATAAGTCACAGAGTAGCAGCTGGGCCCAAGGTAATTGTCATCCTTCCAATCTGACCTCTCCAGCCCCATTTTACAGAGAAGCAAATGGAGCCTAAGGAAGAGAAGCTGCCACAGTGTGACGACATTGTTTTATTTTACCAGTCTCCCCCGAATGGGGCGTGTGGGTTGGTTCCAGTTTGCAGCAATCAGAAATAGACTTGGCTGGACCACCCTATGCCTACAAGAGTGGGGTTTTCCAGGGTAGCTAAGGAGAAATGGCACTGCTGGGGTGAACTGTGGATCCACAGGGTGCTCCAATTGCAACAGAGGGAGGTGTCTCTCCCAATTCACTTATAGATCAGAGTTTCTCAACCTCGGCACTCTTGACATTTGCAGCTGCAGAATTTCCTATCATGGGGCTGTCCTGTGCATAGTGGGATGTTTAGCAGCATTCCTAGCCTCTACCAGCAAGATGCCAGTAGCATGTCACCACCCCCAGTGTGGTAACCATAAATGTCTCCAGACATTGTCAAGTGCCCCCTGAGGCCAAAATCATCCCCAGCTGAGAACCACTGCTGTAGATGTACAGAGCCTGTGAGTAGGATTTCTAAGCCCAGATTCTTTGAAGCATATTTGTGGATGTTGTTGATTTTCTTTTCTCTAGGCAGGTTTTCTCTTTGGAAGCGGTACAATGACCTTGGTAGTAACTAGTTTAAGAATAAGCATTGGGATAATTAGTGGGATTTTAAAATGAACAATAGAAAATTCACAGCGAATATCATACTCAGTGGAGAAGAGCTAAAAGCATTCCCCTTAAGATCAGGAACAAGACAAGGATGCCCACTTTCACCATTCAACAGTTGAATAAGTTCTAGTCACAGCAGTCAGACAATAAAAAGAAATAAAAGGCATTCAAATTGGAAAGGGGGAAATAAAATTGTATTATTTGTGGATGACATGATACTATACATAGAGAACCCCAAAGATTCCACCAAAAAACTATTAGAACTGATAAATGAATTTAGTAAAGTAGCGGATACAAAATTAATATTCAGAAATTGGTTGCATTTTTATACACCAATAATGAACTATCAGAAAGAAAAATTAAGAAAACAATCCCATTTACAATTGTATCAAAAAAATAAAATACTTAGGAATAAATTTAACCAAGGAAGTAAAAGACCTATACTCAGAAAATTATAAGACACTGAAGAGAGAAATTAAAGAAGATACAAATAAATAGAAACACATACCATGCTCATGGATAGGAAGAATTAATATAGTTAAAATGTCCATACTACCCAAAGCAAAATATAGATTCAATGTGATCCCTATCAAAATATCAATGGCATTTTTCATACAGCTAGAACAAATAATCCTAAAATTTATATGGAACCATAAAAGATGCCAAATAGCCACGGCAATCCTGAGAAATAAGAACAAAGGTA